TGGTCTTCCTCAGCCAAAGGATTTCTTTTTTTTCTTTTTTTGAGACGTAGTTTCACTCTTGTTGCCCAGGCTGGAGTGCAATAGCACTCAGCTCACTACAACCTCTGCCTCCTAGGTTCAAGAGATTCTCCTGCCTCAGCCTCCTGAGTAGCTGGGATTACAGGCATGCGTCACTACGCCTAGCTAAATTTTTTTTTTTTATTATTTACTAAAGATGGCGTTTCACCATGTTAGTTAAGCTGATCTCAAACTCCTGACCTCAGGTGATCCACCTGCCTCGGTCTCCCAAAGTGCTGGGATTACAGACATGAGCCACTGTGCCCAGTCAAGGACTTTCAAAATTTATTTTCACTTGACTGCAGCTATCTTTCTTATAGACCCAGGCTAATTTCTGGGAGGCATTCCTTGCTAACTGGCTTAGCCATTACTAAGCATAGATCAGTATGAACAATAAATAAATAATTTAAAATGCTTCTGTTTGAAATCATTTCCTGAGAAATAAATGTCATTTATAATGTCACCAAGCAGACAACTGGCATACAACAAAACAGAAGTTTGTCTAACCTAATAATTGTTGTCATTAATGTAGATAAAAATTATGTTTGGAACACTTTCTCTGTAAAAACTTGCTGATGACAATACCTTTGAAAATTCTGTATCATTTAGGAATTCTTCTCTAATTTTATGGACTCACATGTTTCCTGTGAGATAAGAACTAGGGATAAATTTTTTCAAAGGGAACTTCCTGCAATTAAAAAAAAAAAAAAGCCAACATTGAACAAAAAACCATATTCCTATATTCTCCTTGTTAGTATCCAAATAAGCATATAATTAAGAATGCCAAGTAATGGAATAAGAATCTTGCCTTCTAGGCTGGGCTCGGTGGCTCACACCTGTTATTCCAGCACTTTGGGAGGCCAAGGCGAGCGGATCACGAGGTCAGGAGTTCGAGACTAGCCTGGCCAACACGGTGAAACCCTGTCTCTACTAAAAATACAAAAAAAAAATTAGCTGGGTGTGCTGGCATGCCTCTGTAATCCCAGCTACTCGGGAGGCTGTGGCAGGAGAATTGCTTGAACCTGGGAGGCAGAGGTCACAGCAAGCTGAGATCGTGCCACTGCACTCCAGCCTGGGCGACAGAATGAGACTCCATCTCAATAAAAAAAAAAAAAAAGAAGAATCTTGTGTTCTGTCTTATTTATATTCCAATATAAATAAGATATATTCTGATATATACTGTCAGAAAGAAGTAAAAATCTGCCAACAATTATCAATATCTCATAGAAACACTTTTTACACGTGATATTTATAAAGAGCATTTTAAAAAATTCCTAATAATATGAATGTTACTAAGCCCAACTATTGGTAAAATGTGCTTTCTTCCTTAGAATATACTTAAGCAATCAAATGAGCTTCTCGAGCAAAATCCAGGGCAGAAGTGTACCCGAGGAAGTCACATTGAAAGGAGAAATTTTAATCCAAACCCCCATTCTTTCGCTATTAAGGTAAAAATAATGGAAATGGAAATGCAGGTCAGGACCACAATGAGCGATCATAGTTCCTATTCGAATGGCAAAATCAATACTAACAATATCAAGTGTTGCAAAGGATAAGGATCCACAGAATCTCTTTTTTGTTACCGGTGGGAATATAAATTTGTGCAACTGCTTTGGGAAACAGTTTGGCATTATGTAAGATGAACATTCACAATTCTCTACAACCCAGAAATTATACCCAAGAGAAATTCCTGCACACAAACAAGAATGTTTGTAGTGACCCATCGTCAGGAATATGCATAAGTAAAAGGTGCCACATTTGCACCCTGGGCTTTATACAATAGTCAAAATAAGTCCTGCAAAAATAACATACTCTATATATTAGAAACCCTTTTTAAAATACGGTTAAAGATGACTGCATAGCCAGGCGCAGTGGCTCATGCCTGTAATCCCAGCAGTTTGGGAGGCTGAGGAGGGTGGATCCTTGAGGCCAGGAGTTTGAGACCAGCCTGGCCAACATAATGAAACCCCGTGTCTACTAAAAACACACAAAAAATTAGCTGGGCACAGTAGCGTGCGCCTGTGATCCCAGCTACTCAGGAGGCTGAGGCATGAGAATCACTGGAACCTGGGAGTGGGAGAGTGTAGTAAGCCAAGATCAGGCCACTGCACTCCAGCCTGGGCAACAGAACAACACTCTGTCTAAAAAAAAAAAAAAAAAAAAAAAAATTGCAATGAAAAATATGGGTTCTTAAAAATTACACCTAGATGAGATAAAATTAAATAAAATGCGGAGAAAAGTGGATGGTGACCAGGATTTGGAATGGTGGCTATCCTGGAGGAGGGGAGGCCAGAAGGTGGGATGGGATGGCAGGGGGCACAAGAAATAGTTGCCCACATTTTCTCCAAACACCAGGCTTCACTTAGTTAAAAATTAAAAAGTTGGCCAGGTACGGTGGCTCATGCCTATAATCCCAGCACTTTAGAAGCCAAGGCGGGCAGATCACGAAGTCAGGAGTTTGAGACCATCCTGGCCAACATGGTGAAACCCTGTCTCTACTAAAACACAAAAAATTAGCCAGGTGTGGTGGTGCGCGCCTGTAGTCCCAGCTACTTAGGAGCCGAGGCAGGGAAATTGCTTGAACCCAGAAGGTGGAGACTGCAGTTTGCTGAGATCATGCCACTGCACTCCAGCCTGGTGACAGAGCAAGACTCTGTCTTTAAAAAAAAAAAAAAAAATTAAAAAATTAAAAAGTTGAGAGTGGTCTTTCCGAAAGGGGAGCCAGCAGAGAAATGGCTCTGATTCCTTCTTCACCAGCCACATTGCCCAGCAGGTAAGCCTGACTCTACCCGCCCCCAAGGAAAAGAGATCATGAATTTAAAAATTATTTCACTCTGTTTCCAACTCACGAGTACCCTAATCTCACCTCTATCCCCAGCCACACCCATTTGGCCAACTGCTGAGAGCTGGGTGTCTGGAGAGGGCTGGAGGAGATAACACACATGCACGGCGCTGGGCACAGATGGCGCAACTGAAAACCCACCCTGCTGCTCTCAGGGTTACATGACAGACCTGGAGGATGCTCAGTCCTTGATCCCAGCTGGCAGGATGGCCTGTTCTGGAAGGGGGGGATTCAGATCAGAAGCGGGGACAGGAGAGCAGCGTCAAACATCTCAAGTGGCAATTCCAGCTGCACCTCAAATGGGCCTTTTCGGCACATAAACTCATCTCTGGTGGCGTTCGGACACTCAGCCTGCAAGCTGGCTGCCTCTGGGGAGGCCACTGAGGTTCATTCATTCAGCCTCAGTTCCCCTTTCCTGGCCAGCCTTGCATGGAATGCAGTGAAGGCACAGGGTCCTATAAATGTCAGGAATCGTTCATTCTACCTGGGTGAGGTCAGCAACAATTTGAACCACCTTAGAATCTCGAAAAGTCTGAAGAGGAAATTGCAGAGCTGGACTGTACACGCACACACACAAGAAGCTTGTTCTTACTCCCTCCTCCCCCCAGAACTAGCATTTATCTTCACAACATTATCAGCAAGCAGTAAGAATTTTTCTTAGTTACCCAGAGAATCTACACATTTGAGATTACTCTGAAATGTCAACTGTCTACACATGTTATTTTAAGAAAAGAAGATTTGAGAGGCCGAGATGGGCAGGTCATGAGGTCAAGAGATCAAGACCATCCTGGCCAACATGGTGAAACCCCGCTTCTACTAAAAATACAAAAATTAGCTGTGCATGGTGGCGTGAGCCTGTAATCCCAGCTACTCGGGAGACTGAGGCAGGAGAATTGCTTGAACCTGGGGGGCGGAGGTAGCAGTGAGCCAAGATTGTGCCACTGTACTCCAGCCTGGGCGACAGAGCAAGACTCCATCTCAAAAACAAAAACAACAGAAAACAAAACCCTGTAGTGGGTGACTTGAAGGGATACTGTTGGCTGAATGAAGTGAATGAAGTGACCTGAATTTCAGCAACAGCAAGTCAAGGTCCTTCTGTGTGCAACAGTGAAACAGTGCTTCTCAGAGTGTGGTACTGGACCAGCATCACCGGCCACGCCTGGGAAGTTATTAGAAAAGCCGAATCTCAGGCCCTTCCCCTAGGCCCACTGAATCAGAAACTCAGTGGGGAGGCCCAGCACTTTGTGTTCCAACAAGCTCTTCAGGGAATGCTGATGCACACTCAGGTTTGAGAACCACTGGCATAGACTGATCTGAGTTCTCAAGGCTTAAACCAACCATCCCCAGGAAGCAGACTCAGGGAAGAGCCAGTAAGAAAGCAAAGGGAGGCTTCACTAACCTCCTCCTTTCAACCACTTTCAGTGGGAAGACAATGTTAGCTCTCTCACTGCTGGACTTCAATTTTGAATCCCATGCTGGTTCTGGAATAAGAAAGGAGGGCAGCAAAACACCTCCTGGTTCTCCGCAAAACACCAAGATGGACTCCTGAAGGCCAGGAGCCCTGTCCAATACATCTGTGAGTCTGTGGTGCCCAGCCCAAGGCCTGGCAACCAGAGGCATCAGGAAAGGTGGGAGTAACTGCCCCAGGTGGGAAGAATAAGCAGCCCTTCCTAAGGGTGTGGGTCCTAAGGACTGAACAAGGTGACTGTCTCCCTCAATCCCAAACACACAATGATGTTAGCTCCCGAACCAGAAAGGGCAAGGACTTTGAAGGGCTGACTCTAGCTAACTGCCCCAAGCCCCACAACTGCCAGGCAGGAGAGAACTGAGGCCCCAGATCACTCCCTTACTCCACCTCCCCACTTGCCCAAAAATCCAAGTTTGCCAGAGGTCATGTCCACAGATTACATTCACCCTTGCCAGAGGTCAGGGCCCCCAGCCCTTGGCGGCGGGCCAGAAGTGTGCCTTGTCCTGCTGGAATGCACGCCCCTAAACATCTCTAGACTAGCGGCAGTGTCCCCCAACCCTGGAGGCCCTCCATCACCATCCCTGCAGCATCATCACCCTCCAATCCCCATGTCCCACCCTGGCGCTGCCATACCTGTAGTAAGAGAGCAAACCATTGCCCAGCACGAACCAGCGGCGCTGGTAGCCCTTCAGATAGTTGGTCCACTTGAGGAGCCAGCCCTCGAAGCTGTCCAGAGGCAGTAAGGCCAGTGGGGCACTGGAGGTCGTGCCAGTCCCCGACATTGGAACCCCAAGAGGAGTCTTCGCCTGTCCTGATCGCAGAAGAGGCAGGGGCTTTAACGCTGGCAGCGATCCCGACTCGGGTCTGAGAAAGGGCGCGCTCCCCACCGATCGGGAGAGCGGCTCTGATGCGGCCTTAGTGAAGGGCCCAGCCCCTACACCTGAACTTGACTCTGACCCTGGCCGCGACCCCTGCAGCAGTTCCGATGCCTGCCCAGCCCCTGGTTCCGGCTCAGACGTCGTCTCGGACACAGGCTCCGATCTTGGCACTGCCTCCGAAACTGCCTCTGACACCTGTTCTGACAGCGGTCCCCGCTCCGGTTCGGGCACAGGCTGGGGCTGGGGCTTGGGCTCCGGCCCGGAGCCGGACGTGGAAGCGCTCATGCCCGGCGCCGCCGTGTGGCACGACAGGCAGGGGACAACCGTGAACAGCGACGAGAGCCCGCGGGAGCGGCCGCCACAGCCGCCGCCTCGGCTCGGAGCGGCCGCTTTCCCCATAGAGCCGACCGACCCGCGCGCGGCCGAGCGGCCAGTGGGGGCGGGGGGCAGGCCGGGGGCGCAGTCACGTGCGCGCGGCACGAGACGGGGGCGCGCGCGGGTCCCTCCGCGGCCCCGTGCGCCCCCCGCCCGCCAGCGCCCGCCGGCTGTTGTGCTCTCGGCCAGCAGCGGGCCAGGTTTGGCTTCTAGGTCCTCTCTCTGTCCGGCGGGTGGAAGGAGCCCTGGAAACACCTGTGGGCGGCGAGCTCGGCGGGCGGGCAGGCGACGCGAAGGGGATGGCGCGCTTCAGGCCACGGTCCCTGCTGCGGCCCAGCCCGTGCCAGGCGCTGGAGGAACAATGATGAATGCGGAGCCCGTCGGCTCCCAGCGCAGCTCTGCCCACGGGACCCTGCGCCGACGCCCCCTCCCCCAATCCGGGCTGGGATGGGTTCGCTCTCCGCCACCCAGGAAAGCCAGGCGGGAAGCAGGTACGGCACCCAGAGGCCATGAAATGCGCACGAAGCACAGGGGCCAGCCGGGTGGCGCTAAAAGCTAAGGACGACGCCCCCGCCCCCCATGGCAGCCATTACCTGTCTGTGGGTTGCTCCTGCGGCCACCAGAAGCGGAGGCCCCCAGCCGCCTCCACCTCCGCCTCCACCTCCTGAGCCAACTGGACTACGGTTCATGCTAGGGCGCTTCGCTGCAAGTGGCGACATCGTTCGGGTTCTCTAAACAAATATGGGAAGACTTTTTGTAAACCAAGCTTCTTAATACAAGAAACATCTCAAAGTGGGGTTCTTAACTTGGACCTCCTGGGATTCCTGGGTAGGCTGGCAGTCTGTGAGGCTTCCGCAGTAGTTGTGGAGGTTTACCTGTTTGTGCCTTTTTCCAGAGTAGGTCCATAATTTTCATGGGATTCCCAAAGGAGGCTGTGACCCCAGAATGGTTAAAACATCAGCGAATTTCGCCCCACCCCACGCCTTTTTTTTTTTTTTTTTTTTTTTTTTTGAGACTGAGTCTCACTCAGTAGCCCAGGCTGGAATGCAGTGGCGTGATCTTGGTTCACTGTAGCCTCTTCTTCCCAGGTTCAAGTGATTCTCCTGCCTCGGCCTCCCTAGTAGCTGGGATTCAAGGGCCCGCACAACGCCCGGCTAATTTTTGTATTTTTAGTAGAAACCGGGTTTCACCATGTTGGTTAGGCTGGTCTTCAACTCCTGGCCTCAGGTGATCCTCCCGCCTCAGCCTCCCAAAGTGCTAGGATTACAGGCGTGAGGCACTGTGCCCTGCCATCAGTGATTTTTTTTCTGAAGAATCTATTCGGCCGGCGGGCGCGGTGGCTCAGGCCTGTAATCCCAGCACTTTGGGAGGCCGAGGAGGGCAGATCACAAGGTCTGGAGATCGAGACCATCCTGGCTAACACGGTGAAACCCTGTCTGAAGTTTATGGTTACTACAAATAATCAGAAATACAAATGGAAAGACTGAATATTGGGTTTCTGTCCAGACCTTTCCAGCTTAGACCTCTCTGCAGACTCCCCTTAGTTCATCATCATGTCTTACTCTCCCCTTACCCACCTATCCTTTCCTGATCTTTGCTTGTGACAAGATGACCTGTGTAAGGACTGCCTCCTACGTGAAGTGGTCCCCAGAAGGAAGCGGATTGGAAGGTCCTAGAAATAGGAGGTGTAGACATGCACTGAACAGGAGCCCCTGGCATCTTTGCTGGTGACTTTGAGACCTTCCTCAGGCACTTGTCTTTGAATGGTGGTCTTATCTGCAATTTTGGTGTGAGCTCTGGAGTGCAGAGAACCGCCCATCTTGTTCTATCCCGTATGTATGACGGTGACCCTCAAACGTCAGTGTGCTGAGTCACCCCAAGGAAAAGTGATTGCCTCTGGAGTACAGTGGGGGACAGAACTGGACAACTGAGAAATGAGGTGGAATGCTTGCTTTTCACTTACGCTTTGAACCTTTTGTATGTTTTACTGTGTATGTTTCACTGTGTGTATGTTTCACCTATTCAAAATAATGATAATAATTGTTAAAATCACCCTAGAGAGGTTTATTAGAAATTCGCTTTTCCAGGGCTGGGCACGGTGGCTCATGCCTATAATCCCAGCACTTTGGGAGGCCGAGGTGGCAGATCATGAGGTCAGGAGTTCGAGACCAGTCTGGCCAACATAATGAAACCCTGTCTCTACTAAAAATACAGAAAATTAGCTGGGTGTGGTGGTGTGTGCCTGTAATCCCAGCTACTTGGGAGGCTGAGGCAGGAGAATCACATGAACCCAGGAGGCAGAGGTTGCAGTGAGCGGAGATCACAACATTGCACTCCAGCCTGGGCAACAGTGCGAAACTCCATCTTAGTAAAAAACAAAAGAAAAAGAAATTAGCTTTTCCATCCCCAGTAAATCAGAGGTGGAATCCAGGAACATGCTTTTTTTTCTTTCTTTCTTTCTTTTTCTTTTCTTGAGACAGTGTCTGCCTCTGTCACCTAGTCTGGAGTGCAGTGGTGCAATCATGGCTCACTGCAGCCTTGACATTCAGGGGTCAAGTGGTCCTCCCACCTCAGCCTCCAGACTAGGTGGGACTACAGGCATGTGCCACCACACCCGGCTAATTAAAAAAAAAAGAAATTTGTAGAGATGGAGTCTCCCTATGTTGCCCAGACTGGTCTCGAACTCCTGGGCTCAGGGAATCCTCCTGTCTTGGCCTCCCAAGGTGTTGGGATTACAGGCATGAGCCACCTCCTCCGGCCAGGAACATGCATTTTATTATTTATTTATTCATTTATTTTGAGATGGAGTCTTGCTCTGTTGCCCAGGCTGGTGAGCAGTGGTGCGATCTCGGCTCACTACAACCTCTGCCTCCTGGGTTCAAGTGATTCTCGTGCCTCAGCCTCCCAAGTAGCTGGGATTACAGGCATGCACCCTCAGGCCCAGATAATTTTTGTATTTTTAGTAGAAATGGGTTTTTGCCATGTTGGCCAGGCTAGTCTCGAACTCCTGACCTCAGGTGATCCACCTGCCTTGGCCTCCCAAAGTGTTAGGATTACAGGTATGAGGTACCACGCCTGGCTGGGAACATGCATTTTAATGATTTCCCAGAGGTTTTGCATGTGGGTGGATCATGGAGCACATTTTGGTGGACAGTGATGTAGAGGGAACATCTAGGGCTTTGTGAGTCAGACCCACTAAAGAAATCCCAGTTCGGCCACTCCCTTGCTGTGGGTCCTTCAGTGACCCCGCTGAGCTTCCACTTGCTCATCTGTAAAATGAGGATAATAACAACTACCTCTCAGGTTGTAATGAAATCATGTGTATAAAGCATATTTGACATAGTAAGTTCTCAGTAAATATTCTCTAGTTATGTACTAGAGGGTTCTCTATGAAATATTTGGTGAAATGAACTAAACAGAGGCCAGAGCAGAAGATCAGTACAAGGTTGACAAGCTTGGGAAATAACCACAATGGGCAAAGCTCAGTGCCTGCTATGTATGCATCAGATGTGTCTGCAACCCTTAAGGAAGGAAGCTGTCTAGTAAACAAATACTTAAGGATATGTTTTGACTGCTGCAATAAATTGCTAAGCTTTCAAAGATGACAGGGCCTGCCATCTTTTTTAGTTCTGCCAGAGCGAGTGAAGAAGGAGTCACAGAAGGGACAACATTTGCACTGAGTCCAAGGGATAAGGAGTGAAAGGGCATTCAAGGTGAAGGAACCAGCGTACTGTAAGTCCTATGTTGGGAAAGAACAGCTTGTCTGGGAAGTGATAAATAGCTCATCATATTTGGAAGAGTAAGACGGGAGATGAGTGGGCACCACACTGCGAGGAATGCTCTTTAGCCTGCAGAAAGAAGGACTCCTGGGGACAAAGGAGATTTTTAAAATTTTATTTATATATGCATTTATTTGTGTATTTGCTCTGTCACCCAGATTGGAGTGCAGTGGCCCGATCTCGGCTCACTGCAACCTCTGCCTCCCGGGTTCGAGCAATTCTCCTGCCTCAGCCTCCCGAGTAGCTGGGATTACAGGTGTACACCACTGCACCTGGCTAATTTTTTGTATTTTTAGTAGAGATGGGGTTTCACCATGTTGGCCAGGCTGGTCTTGAACTCCTGACCTCAGGTAATCCACTCACCTTGGCCTCCTAAAGTGCTAGGATTATAGGCTTGAGCCACTGCGCCCAGCCCAAAGGAGATTTTTTTTACCAACTACAAGTCCGGGGCAGGAAATATGCAAGATGAGCCTGCCTGGGACATTTTGTCATGCCAGAAAGTGAAAAGGCTATTCAACACCACTGTTGTGTCAAAAGCACTCAGGGGCCAACTTAAAGGGGCTCGCAGTGGCCAAGGTGGAAGAATACGAGCAAAAAGAATAATGATTGCAATGGGCTGAAACATCAACTATATTAAAATCCATAAATTAAATGCATAAATTCCTAAAGTTACACACACACACAAAAACCCCACTAAAACAAAAACCCACCTATTGGTCATATGTGGGGGTTACCACAGTACCAATTGATTATTCTGAAAATTGATAAAGGGAAAGAATTAAGTCTGTATCCTATCCTTGTTTTACAAACTATCTCATAGTAACAAAGAGTTCATGAAGGAAAAATGTGTATAGAAGAATTAGCTAGACCAGGTGCAGTGACTCATGCCTGTAATCTCAACACTGGGAGGCCAAGGCAGCTGGATCCCTTGAGCCTAGGAGTTTGAAACCAGCCTGGGCAACACAGTGACAACCCATCTCTACAAAGGAAAAAATAAATAAATAATTAGCTAATAAATGCAGAAGGAGGCCAGGTGCAGTGGCTCATGCCTGTAATCCCACCACTTTGGGAGGCCAAGGCAGGTGAATTGCTTGAGTCCAGGCATTTGAGACCAGCCTGAGCAACATAGTGAAACCCCATCTCTACAAAAAATACCAAAATTAGCTGGGCATGGTGGTGTGTGCCTGTGGTCCCAGCTACTCAGGAGGCTAAAGTGAGAGGATCACGTGAGCCTGGAAGGTGGAGGTTGCAGTGAGCTAAGATCATGCGATTGCACTCCAGCCTGGGTGGCAGATCAAGGCCCTGTCTCAA